TTGATACGTATGAGTAGGTGGTTCTGCTGTGTGAATAGTTGATCTGCCTGAGCAGAAGCAGCTCGAAGAGTATTGCTGAGGTGAGGGATTTGTTTCTTATTGCCATGATGAATGAACTGCGTTGAAGTCATTTCCGAAGTCACCAGTTGCGTTGAAGTCATTTTTAATGGCATGAAGCTAATTTTTTTTTTTTGAAAAATGAATCAGAAATAAATCATAACTGGCCATGTTGAGGCGGGGTCTGCCGGAGGAAGCACTTTGGATAGGAATAGGCCAAGCCATCACCACCGACTTGTAAAGCAAACCCGTTTAATTTAGTTCAAACCAAAACGGTGACTGGGAAGAGCAAATGGAATATGCAGACGCAAAGATCAGCAAACAGACAACATTGGCCCAAATTTCAGTTTTCAAAAGCGCATAAAAACAGTGGTGAAAATAAAGATCTGAATGGGCTTAGTTTTGTTCATGAATTTAAGTGTCTTGCACTATTGCAGTGGTTGATAGTGAGCATGAAAGACAGCAAAATTTCGGGACTTTCCAGGCAACACTAGAAGCATTTACTGATTACCAAATATCTGCACAACACAGAAACTGATCGCCAACACTGCTCATATTCATGTTTAAATTATATAAACCGATGTTATGTTGCTAAATCACTATATGCATCAACGGACGTAGACCAAAGCTCGTTTATCAAATCCAGTAAAGCCACCATCTGTTAGCGCGTCCAGCGCTCGTTTTTGCATCTCGCTCTCTGTTATTAGGTGATTCTGAAATCGTTTATCGAATCCTGTAAAACCTGGATCACTGATCGAATCGAATGCCCTGAAACAATGTTTACTGTTAGCATATTTCTAAAGTTTATTTTGTGCTGCTTGCCGTAAATGAAAAATTTTTCAGTTAATGCTGACGAAAAATCTTTATTTTTGAGTTTAAAATCTTTATTTTTGAGTTTATGGTGATAGTATTTTTTTTTTCAGAATAACAAAATGACTAATTTTCCTGCACGCTCGCCAAAAACTTATCGAAAAGACAGTTCACTAAAAACTGCCTCGTTCCAGCCGCACAATTCGTGCTCGTTTTTGGGTCGTTCTTTATTTAAACCTGTTCTTTACCCGTTTTTTATTTAAATGAGTTTCCAGATGTCGCATAAAGTTTGCTTACTCCCTCTGAGTATTAAGTTTTTTGCTTAGTATAAAAAAACCTTTGCAGACTCCCGAAAACCCTATACCTCTTTCCAGTTCCTGTCTCCAAACAAGGTCTCAGCTCCCCCACCCAGGCAATGACCCGTTCTCTTCCCTATGTAACGATCCAGACCTAAACCGATACCTTCTGCCCCCTCCCCCTCCTCCCTTTCTTCTGTTCACTTTTACTTTCTGTCCGTCACTCCCTAGTGATTACAAATCGCCTCCCAAACTGCCCGAGTCCAGCCAAGTTTCGTTGAAAAAGAATGAAGGAGGATGAATTTTTTTAAGAAGGAAGAAAGCGGTTAGGATTTTAGGAAAATAATGCACCTTTTGTCGAAACCAGTGAAACCCTGGTCATTTAGTGCATCCAGGTATCGCTTGCTCATTTCCCGATTCACGAAGTAACGGTAATTTCTGAGGCTGGGGATTCCTCCAACCTGAAACGTGTAGTTGAGGAAATCAAGAAGTGTTAAAGGTCAAGATATCTTTTGAATGTTCCGATTAGTTACTTTTCCATCAACGTGTTCTTCGCTATTAATGCATTCTACAACTTCTTCATTTTTGTCCATTTTGTGCTTCTGTGTTTGATGCTACACGAGCGCTTTTCACCACACAGACTTTTTTTCATTTAGCATCCTTCTCCTTCTAAATTCTTTTAGTACCAAGCAGTTACCAGTCAACCGTTTCGTTCTTTTTCCTGTTTTCTGAACGGCATGCGCTAGCAATCACCAACAACCATTATGTGACGAAGCTCTTTGCGAAATCATTAACCAGTAAAGGACTCGAACACAATAACGACAAAATTGTCCGCAAAAATATCATTAAATTTGTTTTATGTATTAGCACACAACTCATGCTGATGGATTATGCTACTGAAGGCGCCTGCTTCCCCTATATTTCCACAACCGTGAGATCTAACCTGTCAACTGATTCATAGCCATTTAGATTTAGATCCAAAGGAATACTTCAATTCCCGGTCTAAG